GGGAATCGTGCCTGTCTTAGGTTGGAGTCGTTTATGGAACCATAAGTCCATTCTTACCTGTCATTGGAGAGTCCCATAGCTATGATGGGCTTCCTGTCTTAGGTGGAAGGACTGAACAGTTATTGGGTTCATCAGACTCTCTTATCCGTCTTTGGCTAACCGATTCAGCGCCTCAGGCGAGACCAGTATAGGGGTCAATTTGTTGTTTGTGGAATGGCATGCGCCTATTAAATATAACAGGTACCAGTGAGCAAATAATTAAAAAGGCAATGAATGGGAGAGTACTTTCTCTGTTTTTCTGTCTGTCTCTGGTGAACACACGTTCTCTGGCAATTAAGAAGAAAAAAAAAAAAAAATAGTTCCCTGTTCTCAGTAAGTCATCTCTGGATACAATAAGGAACCAAGAATTATTCATCAACTGAAAAGTGATGGGGCCCTGTCAATCTATTTGACTTACAATTCTAAAAGACAAAAGGCCCTTTCTTCTTTGAAGCAATGGGACAGGATATTTGAAAGTTGGCATCTAATCACTACCTAGGGGCACTTGGAAGATCCTAAAGTCCAAAATTAGCCCTGTGCTAACTTTCCAAAAGAGATCAGGAAACTGTCCTTAAAAACAAAGCTTTAATAGGACTAGCAGATGGTGTAGCAGTTATGTCACTGGACTCCCAAATGACCAACAGTAGTTTGAATCCCAGATCTGGAGGCTTGAAACTCACACCAAGCGCATGTAGGTGCATGCCCAAGGTCTTGAGAGGAGAATGGAGGAGAACGGAGTGTGGCATGGCTATCCCTCCTAGGGGGTGAATTCTCACTTTCTGTCTCTTCATCTCTCTCTGTCTCTCTAGCAAGTACATGCACCCAATAGCAAAAAATCTCTCTCTCAAAAAAAAAAATCATATGAAGACATTTAGGTTTTATCCTGAGGGTGTGGGAAACCACTGAAAAAAATTTTAGCAGGGCTACAAGTACATTTTCTTTTTTTTTTTTTTAATAATTATTTTATTTAACCTTATTTATTTATTATTATTATTATTTTCTAGTTTGATCAGAGAGAGGGAAAGTGAGAAAGCAAGCCATCAGGTCCAGGACTTGAACCATGGTTGGCCATGTAGGAGTCCAGCACCTTTAACCACCACACCACCTGCTGGCCCTTACAGTACATTTTCTGATGCACAGAGTCAACCAGGTGGTGCTGGATTTAAGGTCCTCAAGGCTCTCCATCACTGGGGACAGAGTATAAACTCTCTGCTGTGCTTACAGGCTCTAGGAAGTCTCAGGCTACCTCTCTAGTGCCACCACCTGACCTTGAAGCTCTTCCACTGAGCCTATATTGAGCCACTTGGATCCACTTCTCTGAGCCTTGACCTTTGTTTCCTTTATTGGAAATGCTTGTGCTGGGTCTATCTGCCTCCTGCTCACCCTTAGCTTTAAAGTCCCCTCCACTGCGAAGTCCTCCTTGTCTCCCTGGGCAGCTAGCCCATGGTTCATTTTACTGTTATAGATCTGTCCCTCCTCCCCCTTGTTGATATTCCTCAAGGACAGCAACTACCCCCTGGTTTTGTAATATCCAGCAGTCTGGACCTGCCTGGGTACTCACAGGTACTCAGATGCGCCTACTGAACAAGCAGATGGACAGTGAATGGTGCAGGAGACATGACATTCAGAAGTACCTGCTCCCTGTCACCACTTACATCATCCACCATGAGGGTTGCAATGGCTCGGCCAATTTCATTGTAGGATTTTGCTCTCCCAGAAGGTCCTAGCAGTATGAAAAGAAATCTGCAAAGAAGATGGAGGAGGAGGAAAATGAGAAGGAAAACCAAAGCAAATGAAGGAAAGAATTCTTGTGTACTAAACAGTATCCATTCTTTTTTTTTTTTTTTTAAGAATCATTTATTTTTATTTTATTTGTTATTATTACTATTTTTAATTTGACCAGAGAGAGACAGGGAGAGAGAGAGAGAAAGGGAAAGTGAGAAAACAAGCCACCAGGTCTGGGACTTGAACCATGGTCAGCTACGTGGGAGTCCAGCACCTTAACCACTGCACCACCTGCTGACTCCCAGTATCCATTCTTAACTTTTTAACTTCTCTTCTTTGAATCCTATGTAGATGTTCCTAATTTAAAGTGAGGTTACATCCTGATAAACCCATAATTGAAAATATCCTAAATTGAAAAGGCTTTTAATATACCTAACCTAACATGTTAGCTTTGCCTGGTCTACCCTAAACATGCTCAGGACACTTACATTAGCCTATAGTTGGGCAAAATCATCTAATACAAAGCTTGTCTTAAAACTAAGTATTGAGGAGACCAGGAAGTGGTGTGGCGATGAAGGTGCTGGACACTCTCACATGGCCAACCACAGCTCAAGTCCCGGACATAGTGGCTTTCTCTCTCTCTCTCTCTCTCTCTAGTCAAATTAAAATAAATGAAGAGATAAAATTAAGTAAATAATTCTTTTAAAAAATGAAATACTTAATGTCTCGTGCAATTTATTGAATACAGTGCTGAAGGTGAAAAACGGAGTGGTTATAATGGTACTTAAGTATGGTTTCTCTGAATAAATACTGCTTTTGCACCATTGTAAAGATGGAAAATTCTGAGTTGAACCATCATATGTCAGGGGCTGTCTGTATTTGCTTCAGAGAAACACTTACTCTTCTGCTCCCACTAAGCTTCCCCTTGGCCACACTTTGTCTTGCCGCCCAAATCCACCCAACAGTTTCTCTCCCAGCTGTTGCCTCTTTGCCCTTTGGGATAAAATTTTTTTTTTTTAAGAGGTTTTTGCTTAAGGGCGCGTGTGCTCGCCAGACAGACAGAGAGAGACAGAGAGACAGAAAGCGAGAAATCACTCCCCAGGGGGGATGGCCATGCCGCAATCCCTTCTCCTCCATTCTCCTCTCGGGATCTTGGGCACACACGCACACGCGCCCAGCATGAGTTTTAAGCCACCAGGTCCAGGACACGAACCACGGTCGACTACGTGGGAGTCCAGCGATATAGCCATTATGATAACTGCTGGTCCCCGGAATAAAATTTTTTTAAGAGAGATTTTTTATATATGGTGTGTGTGCTTGCTGGAGAGATAGAGAGAGACAGAGAGACAGAAAGTGAGAAATCACCCCCCCCAGGGGGACCAGCAGTTAGCGTAATGGCTATGTCACTGGACTCCCACGTAGTCGGACCCGGTGGCTTAAACTCACGCCGGGCGCGTGTGCATGCATGCCCAAGATCCCAAGAGGAGAATGGAGGAGAAGGGATTGTGGCGTGGCCATCCCCCCGGGAGGTGATTTCTCACTTTCTATCTCTCTGTCTCTCTCTGTCTGTCTGGCGAGTGCACGCACCCTACAGCAAAAAAAAATCCTCTCCAAAAAAAAAAAAAGAAATCACCCCCTAGGCGGGTGGCCATGCCACAAACCTTTCTCCTCCATTATCCTCTTGGGATTTGGGGCACACACACACACACACACACACACACACACACACACAGTGTGAATTTTAAACCACCAGCTCTGGGACCGAACTGTGGTCGACTATGTGGGAGTCCAGCGCCGTAACCATTATGCCATCTGCTGGTCTCCCTTTGTGATAATTCATAGTAAATTCTGACATTCTTCTCTAGGTAGCAGCTTTCCTTCCCCAGGAAACCTCTAGTATGGGGTATCTCTGGGTGCTGCTTGCTGACTGCATAGACAGCTGCTCCTAAGCAGGCCTGGGGCCAAGGTTCAGTGGCTCTCACCTGGTGGGGACGGGCACCTCCGTCACTCCTCCCAGCATGGCAGACTGGATGAGACGCACAAAAGCAATGAATGGCTGGTCCAGGAAGTCCACCTCGCCCACGAGCACATTGGAGGCTTCTGAGTCCTTGGGGATCTTCTTCATGAATTTGTTTTTCCTCTGGAAAGGAGGGAAAAGGAGACACCCATGGATATGCCCATGCTTCCCCCCATTCCCCTCAGACTTCTTTGGAGGCCTAACTTTATTTATTTATTTATTTGTTTTTGAGAAGTTTTTGCTATAGGGTGCGTGCACCTGCCAGAAAGACAGAGAGACAGAAAGCGAGAAATCACCCCCACGGGGGATGGCCATGCCACAATCCCTTCTTCTCCATTCTCCTCTCAGGATCTTGGGCATGCACGCACATGCACCCGGCATGAGTTTAAGTCGCTGGGTCTGGGACTCGAACCACAGCTGACTACATGGGAGTCCAGCGACATAGCCATTATGCCAACTGCTGGTCCCTGGAGGTCTAACTTTAAACAATTCTCCCAGCATTTCTCAGGAAACTGAAAGAAACACTTCCTGATTCTGTGGACGAGGAGACAGAATGCTGGCTAGCCCAGGAACTAATGAAGGCTTTGTAGATGGAAGGAACCAGCAGTGACCCCTAAGATACACCTGCTAGGAGGAACTGGAGAAGAGAGCCCTGGGGCTCACTGGAGGTCAGGCCTCACTCCCCAGCTGGCACTCTGGCCACCTCATCCTCCCCTCTGCCTTCACCTCTGGTGGCTGCAGGGAGGAAGGGGCCTGTTCTAATGCTTAAGATGCACGAGCTTTGCCTTCCCTTTGCCACCAGCTTTCTGGCTCACGGGAAGCCCCAGACCAGTCCCCAAATCTGTGGGAGACTTCTGTGCTCCCAAGTCATGCCTAGGGGACCTCCAAAAAACTCTTCACTTCTGAGACCCCCCAACTGAGACTATCAAGGTGACCTCCCTCCAGTCCCTCTCACCGGGGTCTGTTTAGGGCAAGAAGGTCAAATAGGCGGAAGGAGTGATATCTCTCTGATGGAAGAGATACTGGAGACAAGCCCTCTGCCCAGACGTGGGCCTACTCTCTGCGTGTATGCCTTATCCCTCTAAGTCCTCTTTTATGAGGAAAGTCCCCAGGGAATGGTTATACGAGCTCCTCCTTAGTCCTCTACATCTTACTTTTTCAGACTGTTTCCTCTGGGCAGTGACGGGACAGACACAGACAATTTCAGAGGGGAAGGAGAGGGCAGGGCTAGTTGTGGGCCAGAGTGGCCAGTGCAGGGGCCTTGAAGGTGGAGCCTTGTTCTCAAGAGAGCTCCTGGGGAAAGACAGTTCTCCTCCCAATATCCCCTCAGCTGGACTCTCCCCTGCGGACACAGTACACCTGTTTATTGTGTATGCAGGGAAGATACAAGTTCCTCATGTCCATGTGGGGGGTCAGCTGTGGGCATGGGCACTGCCAGCGGGTCCTGCCCTGTTGTGCCCTGATTCGACTCTGGGGGCGGGGTGTGACACATGGCCTGAGAGGCCTCCCAGCATGAGGAGAGGCACGTGAGCAAGCTGCACCTTATAATCTTTTAAATCCAATTAGAAAAAACACACCCCATAACCACCCGGGCAACCAGGAACAACCCCAAGGATCTCGAGACTAAGCAAGGGCAGTCATTGACAGGAGGGCCAGAGTCCCTGAGACTAAAAAGTCTCTTTGTCCCATGCATAGTCAGCTGATTAACAAGCAGTGTTCTCTGGGATGGAGGGCTGGGACGCCAGGGCAGCCACCAGCTCTGTCCCTGAGGATCAGGCAGGGCGGGAGTCTAGGAGGGAGACGTGCTCTGGAGAACGAGGCTTTGAAAGCAACAACGCTTCGGGGTGGCTCATCCAATTGACAAACATTGCTGATTGTGCCATGTTTGGTCAAGAGGCTGGCTGGTGGCAACCTAGAAAGGGGGCATGATGACACTCTGGCCACCCTGGCTTGGTCACACCACCCAGGGCCCTGAGGACTCCATGTCTTGAGCCCACGGACACTCCAGTCCAGCTCTGCACTGCAGAGTCACTGCAGCAAGCGATGCTGTCCCAGCCAACGTTGTTCACTGGGGGATCCATCGACTGAGGGTGGGTAAAGCCTGCAGAGCGAAGGTCTCTGGGCTGGCACCTACAGAGGGCCCTCTGGCACGGAGACCACTGAGAAGGAGCTCTTGTGTCAGATGGCAGGATTAGACATGGGCACCAGCTGCCGGTTCCGGTTTCTGAATCAGGAAAGCACTGCTTGGAGGAAGTGACTGCTACTACTGTCATTACCCGCTGTACAGTTATTAAAATAGGCTGTGAAAGACAACTTTTAAAGATTTTTCCCCATAGGATGTGTGCGCTTGTCAGAGAGAGAGATAGAGAGAGAGACAGAAAGAGGGAAAGTGAGAAATCACCCCACACACACACCCCAGGGATGGCCACACTGCAATCTCTTTTCCCCTATTTCCCTCTGAGGATTTGGGGCATGCACGCACACATGACCAGCATGATTCCCAAGCCGCTGGGGCCGGGACTCAGACTGTGGTCAGCCATGTGGGAATCCAGTGCCTTAACCACACCACCTGCTGGCCTGGCTAGGAAAGACTTTTACAAGGTAAAGTTTTCTTATCCAGACCCTATTGTCTGGTGCCAGCAGGTAGTGTGTGGGTTAGGGCACTGGATCCCACCTGGCCAACTCCCTGGTTTGAGTCCTGGACACCACCTCTTGAATGTGCATGTGCTTAACACGCCAAAGATCCTGAGAGGAGAATGAAAACGGGGCTGTGGCATGGCCATTCCCCTGGGGATGATTTCTCTTTCTCTTTCTCTGCATGTGTGTGTGTGTGTGTGTGTGTGTGTGTGTGGTGTGAGTGTGTGTGGTGTGTGTGTGTGCGTGTGTGTGTGGTGTGAGTGTGTGTGTGTGTATTGTGTGTATGTGTGGGTATCTGGAGAGCGTACATGCCCTATGGCAAACACGTTTTCAAAAAAGCAAAACAAGTTCATTGTCCGTGCATGTGACTGTAATAAGGAGATGTTCCTCCCCAAATAATACTCCAGAATACTGACTAACTGGATCCTCAGGAAGGGCCCTAGAGTCACAGTGCTGGGGTCAATTCATGGTCCCACCACCTTTCAGCAGAAAGCAGGACTTGGGCTTCTCAGAAGTGACAACGGCACCTCCTCGGTGCACAGACCGCTCGGCAGGGCTGCGCCCGCAGCGTGAGGACCTCACACACTGGCTGATGTCATGTTGCTCTTACTTCATGACTTTGAGCACAGAAGTACTGCTTTGGTTTTGCTTCCTGCCAGATTTGGGGATACCCAAGCTCCTGAGGACACCTCACCAAGTTTCAGGTTCCTTTGTCATCTTCCTACTCCTGGGGACAAGGGCAAAGGGATAGTGAAACCCCTGTCCTTGAGGTGTGACGGGGTTGGAAGGAAGGGGCCTCCTCTGGGCGTCCTCAGGAAGTCACAGGGTTCCTGGACTGTGGCCCTTGGAATGTGGACTTGGCCTGTTTGTATGATTCTGATCTCACCTGGGGGCTTCAGCAGGCTGGTGGGAGGCCAGAGTCGACGCGCTCCTGCCTAGCCCAGAAAGAAGACATGCCACCGGGCAGGCCAGCGAGCCAGCTCTCACTGCACTCTCCATAGCGAGGCCCCAGTCCCCACCCATCTTCCAAGGCTCACGTGGGTCACAGGGAGGTGGTGTTACATATGCTGGCCCTCCCTCCAACACATCCCAAGCTCAAGGACTGCTGGCACCCAATCTGCTCATGTTCTCTGTCCCCGCTGCCCCCAGAGCTCGGCACAGAGCCAGCATCTGGAACTCAGTCAGTACCTGACTGATGGGCTGGGCAGAGCCCCCTGGCAGCCCAGAGCCCCACTGGGGTCCTTCCTGGGGACACCTGCTCCTTCATGGGAGTGGAGTTCTGCCCAGTGGGGCTCCCTGCCCCCAAGACCAAAGGTGTCTTCCGGCCCTACCCTCCACTGCAGCCGAGTGCAAGGGCTGTACTACCTGGTCGGTGTTTGGGGTGTGAGAAATGTCATTCATGCTTCTGCTCTGGGCGTGACCTAGGAGAGAAGGAAAAGGTCTGTCAGGGGGAGCCAGGCACTCACAGGTCCTTTTCCCCTGGCCCCTACTCGTGCTTCTCCCGTGTTTGTAACCAAAGCAGGATTTCTCGCCCCTGTGGTCCTGCAGCCCCCGTAGGCTGCGTCGTCCTGCTTTCCTTCCCTCCAGCGGCAGCTGTCTACGAAGAGTGGCTAGACTTCCGGGTCCACTCCTCACTCTTCGACCAGAGCAAAGTACCCCCTCCTTCACACTGCTCTTCCTTGTCTGTTTCCCAAATTCTCTCTCCTTCCCTCGCAGCTCGCCTGTCTGTACCTCCCTGCCTGGAGAAGTCTGTGACCTTTCACCTCACAAAGCCCCCTAAACATCTCTAGCAATCCGTGGGTTATGACTCTGCCTGTGCTGCTTCTTCATGGTGGCCCAGGACTGTCCCCAGTAATGGGAATGCCACCTAGCTGTCCTGGAGGAAAGAGCCTAGATTTTCAAAAGAACAAAGCTAACGATTGGTCTAGTGACAACAAAGGCATAGACTAAGACAGAAACGCCTAGAACATAGGATTGGGGGTTGACTATGTGCCAGGACTCGATTTAGGGCTTCATTTGTCAGAGGAACTATTTGGAAAATTAGGGCAGTAAATTAGGCCCCAAGAATAGCCAAGGTTAATAGGGTGAATGTTGGTCTCTTCTGATGCATCTCCTGAGAACACTTGATAGATCCAGGCTTGACCTCTTCCACCTATGAAAACGTGACCATTCCACAGCTGTCACTGCAAAACACAGATGCTACCGAGCAGCAGAGAACACACTCACACAAACGGCCGTAGTTGGCGCTTCGGCGCATGCGCAGGTCCTCGGTGGAGCGGTGCAGGCTCGGGCTCCGGGCGGGGCTGCGATCTGCGAGGAGGAAGAGGAGACTGAGCTGGGCAGCCTTGCTGGGGGAGACAGCCTCTCAGATGAGCATGACTTATGTACGTTGGCACTGCAACTAAGCAAAGCTGGAGACGTCTCCTCCCCTCCCAAGAACCTTTTAACAAACGTTTGCTAGAAGGGCCAGCTGATGGTGTAGTGGTTTCTTGCTGGACTCCCACATGGTCAACCATGGTTCAAGTACCCGACCCAGTGGCTTGAAAAATCACACTGGGGGGGCCAACAGATAGTGTAATGGCTATGTCGCTGGACTCCCATGTAGTCGACCGCGGTTCCAGTCCTGCATCTGGTGGCTTAAACTCACGACGGGAGCATGTACGTGTGTGCCCAAGATTCCGAGAGGAGAATGGAGGAGAAGGGATTGCAGCGTGGCCATCCCCCCTGGGGGTGATTTCTCCCTTTCTGTCACTCTGTCTCTCTCTGTCTTTCTAATGAGCACATGCGCCCTGTAGCAAAAAGCCTCTCAAAAAAAAAAAAAAAGAAAGAAAGAAAAGAAAAGAAAAATCACACTGGGCATGTGTGAAAGTGTGCCCAACATCCCAGAAGGAGAATGAAGAAGGGATTGCGGTGTGGACATTACCCCGGGGGGAAGGGTTTTTCTCACTTTCTCTCTCATTGTCTTTGTTGCTGTCTCTCTCTGGCGAGCACACACACCCTAAGGCAAAAACCTCTAAGAAAAAGAGTTTGCTAGAGGGCACATGTGCTCCCTGGAGAGAGAGTGAAACAGAGAGAGAGGAAGAAAATGAGAAAGCACCTCCCGTGGGGAACGGTCATGATTCCTTCTCCACCATTTCTCTCTCCTGTTGAGATTTTGGCGCACATGCACACACTGGTACAGGACCTGAACCAGCAGCCAACCTTGTGAGATCCAACCAGCTTAGCCACTGCCACCAGCTGGCCCTTTCTTCTTTTTTTTTAGGCAAGTTAGTAGTCTGAACAAGATTAAGCAAAAATATCTGTACTGTTGAAAGTAAGACAAATACACAGTTGGTTAAAGAGGCACCAGGTACACTAGGCGGGCTTCTTCCGCGGCTTCCTGTCTGTGTGGTCTTAGGCAAGTTACATATGCTCTCTGTGGTTCCAGTGCTTGGTCTGTAACATGAGGATGGGTTAGAACAGCTATTCCACAGGGTTATTGTGAGTGTGAGTTAACATAGGGACAGGACCCAGAGCAGTGCCCAGAATGTGGTAAATGCTGACAAATATCTGCTGTTATTACAGTATCTTAACCGCCTCCCAATTTTATTTGATTTTTTAAAAAAATTACTTACTTAATTTTATATATTATTATTTTAAAATTTTGCTATAGGGAACGTGTGCTCACCAGAGGAAGACAGAGAGAGAGAGAGAATGAGAGAAATGAGAGAAAGTGAGAAAGCAAGCCACCAGCTCCAGGACTCGAACCATGGTCAGCCATGCCAGAGTCCAGCATCTTAATCACTGCACTATTGGCTGCCTCTACTTCCCAATTTTTTTAAATATCATACATCCTTTTTATTGTTAAGTCATAAAGAGGTATCAAAATTAAAAGCAAAATTACAGGGTAAGACTTAACAAAACTACTAGGAGCATCAAAAGAAGTGAAATGGGCCCAGGCGCAGGGCAGTCTGAATTAATGGGTATGGGAAGGACAAAGATGGGGAGAACAGTGAGTGAGCACGTGCTGAAGATCCTAGGGAGAGGATCTGGTGAAAATGTTGATCTTAGACAAGCGCCTAGGTAAAGAAATAATGGGTAAGATTTCTAAACCCCACTATGTGCTTATAAGTAAACAACTCCTTTAAATATATTCCTCAAGATTCTTGGCTCTTTTTTTTGTTAAATTATAGAGGATATGTGTGCTTGCCCAAGACAGACAGACAGACAGATAGTGAGAGCGAAAAAAGCACCCTCCAATCGGGCATGGTAACACACTGCAGCCCCTTCTCCTCCATTTCTCCCTCCTGTCAGGATTTGGGGCACACACCTGTTGTGTTCTTCCAACCTCAGGGGCCAGGATTCACACTGCAGCCGGCTGTGTGGGACCTGGCTCCCTTTAACCACTAAGCTACTGAGTCAGCCTTTCCTGGAGCTTCTTTGTTTAGCAACTTCATCTTTTTTTGGTTAATTTTATCAGACGGGTTCAGCAAGGTTAATGTCTCTGTACATGTGGACCCAGGTACTGAGAGGGGAGGGCTAGAGGTTTGAGTGTGTGTGTTCAACAATCCACTCTCCCCAACAACCCCCGGCTCTGCTAATCAGAATGACACCCCCTGTCAGGTGTTCAAGTCCTGGCACCTCTGAGATGGACCCAGCTGTCTGCCACCTCACTGTGCTCCGTTTTCAGCGGAGGCTCTTGGCTCCTCTCGGGGGTTTGGTGGGAAACACCGAGACCTTTTGCACAGAGAGGCCATTGGTCCCAGCACTTCCCAATGCTGTGAGCACACGAGAACCTCTGGGGCTTGCTAACCTCCCTTTGTGTTCCCAGGCCAGATCTGGACCAGGTGACTCCGACTCCCCAGGGTGGGGCCCAGGCATTAGGACTGGTTTCAAGCCCCCAGGTGGCTGCAATGTGAAGGCAGGCTGAGAAGCACTCTCCTAGGAATCCTTCAGCTCTGACAGTGGGGGCGCCACTGGGGTACGGCCGGGTCCTGCTGAGCCTGCCAGAGCTGGAGGCAGAGGCATAGAGGTCCCCAGAACCAATTCCAGACACTCCCTGCCACCAATTGACCCCAGACAATGGCCCTACATGCCAGTGCCAACAGTCCCACCAGCACATGGGCCGACTCACTGGAGGTGGAGGACACCGACTTCCCGATGTCGGCTAGGGAGCGGTGGATGGGCTTCTTGGTCTGGTGACGGTGCTTCCTCAGGAGGACGTAGCTGACCCGCTCCCGGAGCTCTGGCCGCAGGAGCCCGTCCTCTATCTGCTTCTCAATGACATCATCTGGGTGGGAAACAAACACGCCTCGTCCACACGGAACCAAATGGACCCAGGGCGTGGGGACTTCTCTCCTGCTGTTTGTGGGATTAAAAGTAAGCTAAAGGAGGCAGGGGCATGGAAATAGTCTTGACTTAGCCATGGACTGGGGAAACAGAGCACATGGCGAATCCTCATTCTCCTCATGTCCACGGAGAAATGCGTGTCTCAGCGCCTGCAGGGGTGCGCGTGCGTGTGTGTACAGAAGTCTCTACCCTATCTATCAATGTTATTATAAACAATAAATGAAATAGCATAGTTGAAAGTGCCCCCAAAGCACAAAATGGTTTTAGTTATAAAATTAGTTCTTATTATGAAAGTATTTTGAGCAAAATACTTCTGGCAAAATGGAATGTGCTAGAACAAAATTTACAAAAATGTTTAGGGATGAAAAGGCAAGCTACCCTTCTCTCTGACACCCCACTAACATGAGTGCTAGTTTTCTAAAGATGAAAGATATCTGTTTTACTCTGAAAAGACACAGGTGGTCCTGGCAACAGACATCTCTGGCCAGGCTAAGAGGCCCCTCCGCCTTTCTGCCACGTTGTGGGATTGCATTTCAGAGGCAGTCTTGTCCTCTCTGTAGGGATTCCAAGGGACCTGAAACTTGCAGAGGCTGCAACATTGGCTGTGGAGAAACCAAGCCAAAGCCGGTCTCTGTGGAATCAGGCAGGCATCAGAGATGAGACAGTCACACAGACCTAAGGGTAGGCACAGGTGGGGAAATTGCACTGGTGTGTGGGCATTCCAGAAAGATGCCATGGTGGCTGCGGCCTTACCTATAATCTGTGGCAAGGAGCCACTGTCCAGGTCCAGCAGCACTGTCCCCGTCTGCAGACAGGTGCGGAGCTCAAAGAGGCTGTGCAGGGACAGTGTGGACACGTGCGGCTTGCTCCAGCGTTCACCTCCTTCCTCCACCTTTTCTTCAAACTTTATCCACCTGGAAGGGATGAGGATGGGACTCAGCGTGGCCAGGGCCCTCAGGAAGCAGCCCTACCTGGGTCTCCCCAGGAGAGGGGCCTGGGCCTGTGGGGCATGCTGTGTGTTGCTGGGCGTTGGTCTAGACTCAGGGGCAGAGGACCTTGAGGATGCCCATTCCTCCTGATGCTGTCAAGATAAGGACAAAGGGCCCTCCAGAGAATGACTATAAATGGGCATGAGGAACCTTTTTTTCTTTTTATAATTTAAATAATTATTTTATTAATTTTATTTATTATTATTATTTTCCTTTTTTGGAGAGGTTTTTGCTATAGAGAGCGTGTGCTCGCCAGAAAGACAGAGAGAGACAGAGAGATAGAAAGTGAGAAATCACCCCCTGGGGGGATGGCCATGTCTCAATCCCTCCTCCTCCATTCTCCTTTCAGGATCTTGGGCACACATGTACACGCGCCCGGCGTGAGTTTAAGCCACTGGATCCAGACTTGAACCGTGGTCGACTACATGGGAGTCCAGTGACATAGCCATTATGCTAACTGCTGGTCCCCTTATTATTATTATTTAACTTGACCAGAGAGAGAGAGAGAGGCAAAGCGAGAAAGCAAGCCACCAGGTCTGGGATTCAAATGGTAGTTGGCCATGTGGGAGTCCAGCGCCTTACCCACCATGACACCTGCTGGCTCCTGAAGGAGTGATGAAAATATTTTGAGATGATGGAAATATTCTCAAATAGGATTGTGGTGAGGGTCAGCAGGTGGTGTGGATGTTAAAGTAGCTGGATCCCATATAGCAGACTGTATGGTTGGAGTCCCAGAACCAGTAGTTTGAAAAACACACTGGGCGCGCGTGTGTGTGTGCCCAAAATCTGAGAGGAGAATGGAGGAGAAGGGGTTGCAATGTGGCCGTCTCCCCAGGGGGTGATTTCCCACTTTCCCTCTCTGTTTCTGTCTCTCTGTTTGTCTCAGGCGAGCATACGTGCAGGCCCCTCCCTCCCATTTATTTTTAAGAATTCCTTTATTTAGTTACTTATTTTAATTTGACCAGAGAGGGATAGAGGTAGATAGAGCTAGATAGAGCGGGTGGTGTTGGGGGGGAGGAGTGAGGAAGGAAGCTGCCAAGTCTGGGACTTGAACTGCCATTAGCTATGTGGGAGTTCAGTGCCCTTATCCACCATACCACCTGCTGACCCCACA